GAAACGTTCTGTCCCATGTTCTGTGAGCAGCCAGGAAGGATGGTTCTGGATTGGGAGAAGAGGTTAGTTTCCACTTCAGAAAAGAGCCTTGGGTAGGGGGCAGGGCGTGAGTGTGAGTGGAGCAGCTGGTGGTGGAAGCACAGCGTGTCCCCCCTCTGCCAGTCAAGGAGGCAGAGGTGGCGATCAGGTGTGGTGGTTAATTCACATGGATTCAAAGGGCTCAAAATCCAGCTGCTTCTGGAGCTGTTCACAACTGGGACTAAGACCTGGGAAGAGTTCTTTACAGCTATTGGGCTTCATTTTCTCCTCAGAGGAAAATGAAGTAACAATTCCAACTTCACAGAATACTTGTGAGGACAAAGTGATCCTGGGGCCATTAGACCCTTGGACACATTATCCCAGTGGGTTTCCTTATTCTATAGGGCATTAGCAGTTCTTCCAAACAATCATGCATTCATGGGTGGAAACTGAGAGGGAGAGATGTATAGCTAAGAGGGGGGGCAATGAGAGCTGACCCTGGTCTTTTGTGGTCCATGGTGGTGTGTGTGTAAGCAGATACCTCTGAAGGTGAGGGAGTGAGCATCTAATTGACAGTGCAAAAGGTAAGAGGCCCCCTCAAGGCCATGGGGAAGGTAGCCACTTGCCCACTGGTGCCAGCGGGTGCTAAGATGAGCAGGAGAGGAAGTGACCTGCTCATCTTCCATCAGAGCCCAAGACCCCAGAGAGAGTAGTGTGGGCCCAGGAACTACTGTCTGCTATGGCTGCTATGAATTCTTGGGGGAAGAGGCAGAACTCTCCCTGGAGGTGGTGCTATACAGCAGAGGTAGGATTGCTGGGGTGCAAAAAGTGGGTGAACCACCTGGGAACCAGGAGATTTTGCATTTTCATAACAATTTTGCTACATGACTTACTGTGTAAGATGGTGTTAGACACCTACCTTGTTGTGAGCACTGGAAAAGGAAGGGGTCTTAGTAGATCAACTATTCAAGTCTCTCTGACCCTACAACTCTCAAATAAGAATGTTTGTAGGCGGCCCTCCCTGGTGGCGTAGCGGGTTAAAGCACAGCACTGAGAATCTGAAGCCACTTCCGCATGAGTTCGATTCCCGCCTGCCGCCTGCCCCGGAGGAGACCACATGGCGAGCCAGACCTCTCCTGACCCGCCCGCTGCTCCCCTCAGCAGTGTACTTCGTCAGTCTGCCTGTTCTGCTCCCCACTCTGTCTCTGGTGAAGCCTCTCACCGTCCCTGAGCCTCTGGCCTGTACCCCAGTTCTGTATGAATAAATAAATAAATCTTTAAAAAAAAAAAAAAAGAATGTTTGTAGGCATTGGTACTTGGAGGAAAGGGCAGGAGAATCGATGGTCAGACACCCCTGCCCCTAGCTATTGCAAAGAGCTCTGTCAATGGTCATGAGTCCTGTTCACAAAGCAGTGGGCTAGATGCTGGGCAGTCCCTTCTCTAGCTCCACAGCACCCGAGTGAGGGCACACAGCCTGATCACAATCACGGCTGCTCCTGCTTGTTGCTTTGGCAGTATTACTGTGACTTTCTCTTTTTCCCTTGACTCCATCATTGGTTTATTAAGATACAAGTTCATTCAGAGAAAACTCAGTATTTCAGTCATTCAAAGTAATACTGATTCCTAGTGATTAGCAATTCCCCTTTCCTCCATCCCTACCTGTCAACCACAATTCTACTCTTTGATGTAATGAATTCAAACTGTTAGGTACCTCAAAGAAGTGGAATCATATACCATTTGTTCTTTTGTGACTGTCTTGTTTAGCATCATGTACTTGTGACAGGATTTCCTTCTGTTTTTTAAGTCTTAATAATCCATATTTTTTTTTTTTATCTAGCCATCAATGAACATGGCAGTAAGCAATGCTGAAAAATAGGTTTCATTCCTAGGACACCCCCTCTCTACGGGAACTTCCAGCCTAGAGAGAGCCTCATCAACATCTTCAGCAGGACAATGAATGGTGTGAAGGAGTCAGTTTTTTGTCATGCCAGTGTTACAGAGAGGGTGGAAGATTCTCTGTCCACCCCCTGAACATCTGAGACTCAGGCACTGGGGAAAGCACTTGACATCGTCAGGGTTTGTGTGTGCATGAGTCGGGAATGTGAGGAAAAGCAGAGGGGCTGATGGAAGATTTGAGAGAGGTGCTGACTGGGATGGGGGAGAAAATAGGAGGGACGGGGAGGTCACTGGGGTGAGTGACAAAGAAATCGGAGAAAGGGAGGTAATACATGAAGAGGATCTTAGGATGATGTGGAGTGCTTGAGTCCACGTGGAGTGTAGGGGTAGGGTGTCAGTTTCCTGCAAGTTCCCCCACAAATATTCAGTATTGTCCACATTTCTTTTGTGATTCTTTATTGGTGTTGGATTTTACTTTGGAAGGTGCAAAATCATTGGTGAAAGAATTGAAAGCATCACCAGAGAATCAGTCCTGGGGACCCCACCTGTATTCTTAGTCACCACCCTCATGGCTTGGGGAACACCCAGTGTGCCACGAGTCCTGAAATAACACTGACTGTGCAGCTCCATACAGGATCTATACAATCAGGAGGCTGGTGTTTGCTCCCCTTTGTCTCCGCGACCTCCCTCCTCCCCACCTCAGGAACTTCGATGATTTTAAGATCAACTGGGGCTTTGGGCAAAGGTTCAGCTGGATTTGTTTGCCCTTCTCTGATCTGCTTTGACTGTCCCCAGTCGGGATCACAGCCAGCCTGAAACAAACACAAAACTAAATAGGAAAACAGAAGAATAAAATAACAGCAGCATGTTCCTCTACAGCCCTGTCTAGTGCTGATAGAGTTGACCAGATAAGAGGAAACTGGATTTAAGCAATAAGAGAACTTTGTTCCTGTGGAGACTTCTTTGACCATGAATGCTTGAGATGCACAGATAAGCCCCCCCACTCCAGCATGCCAGAGATGTGCTCCTCCACAATCTGCTGGGGGATAGACAGCTAAGAGAACTAGAGGACAAAATTCCAAGATGAAAAATGTTGAATTGCTGGCCTGGATTTCAAATGCCATAGATAGTTTATGCAAAGTCTTGCACTGTTGTAAAATGTAACACAATCCACTGGCACATCTGCCAAAGCTTGGTCCCAGTTGTTTTTGAGAAAAATAAATAAACTTGAAAACGTCTTCCAGGCCACTCAAGTGGCTATGTTTTAGCCGCAGTCTCCTCGGTATTAGGATTCTAGAGATATGAATAACTGAAGCCATCACCTAATTCCTGGCCGAAGAGATGGTTGATTCTTGGCTCTGATTTCCCTGTAAGTTACCTGTGATGTTTTGGAAACTAATACTCCATCCCCAGGTCCCACTAGTCCTCGGGAGGGGGTGAAGGGGAACTTTGGCAATGAACACACTCCAGTCCTTTTCAGTGTTTTAAAGTCGGAGCTCTTTTCCTAAATGAAGCATTACAAGGCAGCCCGATATATAAAACAGATGAGCGGGGAAGCTCTGGCGCAGACAGTGATGCAGCAAATGAGTAGACCTTGCCACGTGTTGGCTGACACCTCCGAAGAGCCCAAGAATCCACTGGTGACACCTTGAAAAACTTTGACCAGATCAACATCAGATATGAGCAAAAAAACAAAAACAAGACCCAAAGAGATGTGGTAATAACTAGTCCACATTCACTCATCAAACACTGAGGGAGGCTGGACCAGAACCAGATCTCCCTAATCCCAAATCAGCACATCATTGCGGCACTTCCTGGGTGATGATGTGTGATTCTCCAAAATTGGGTTAAGCAATTTCTCTTCCTCTCTTGGAGGTTTCAAGAATGAATTGGTGAAGATGTGAAGGTCAAGGGAAACTGGGCGAAGGGTATAAAGAATGCTGTGTATTGTCTTTGCAACTTTTCTGTCCATATAAAATTACACTAAAACAAAGAGTATTAAAAAAAAATACTGATGCTTGTGATACTGATTAACAGTGAAGCCCTGCATTTAAACCTAACTTTGATTAGTGAATTTGATGTGTAACTTTTCCACTCCATTGTTAATTGTTCTGCACTCATCCATACAAATGCCTGGGGTATACTTAGTCTTTGTATGATTTCTATAAATGACATGATAATGTACTTTCCCATTTACACCTCGTTCCTTTGTTTTCCCGCAATGTTATGTTTTGCTGTCTCTCCTACAGATAGCCCTGAATTCTGGTAGGACTCTATTTACATTGGCCAGGACCCATACTGAATAGGGTGTTAAATATTTTTAGCATCATCCTGCATGTAAATCTAGGTCAGTCCTTCTATTCTTTTGTTTCATAGAATTCTGTCCTGTGAATAGTTCATATTTTATGCATCCCTTTGCTAATACATGAACATAGAACCTATTCTCAAACCTTTGCTACTATAGATATCACCAGAATAGATATCCTTGATCCCTTCTAGGTAATTTTTCTTTCTTTTATTTTATTTCTTTCTTTTTCTTTCCTTTCTTTTATTGTTTGTTTCTTTTACAGCGTGTTCTTGGTATGGTTGAGATTAGGTTAGCTCATCTCTTAAAAATAGTGGATGATGCAACTCTCCAGCACAGCCTTACTTTTCAGATGAACAGATCAAGGCCTGCGTATTTGGGATAACAATTCCTGGCACAACCAAAGTGTCAAGGTTTCTGTTTTCCTTTAAGTCTCTGCCTCTGTTTCTTACACCTGGGACACCTTTGCCACACCTTTTTTCTTATCTTTACCACACTATTCTTCTAGACCCAATTCACAGGTCAACTCCTCCAGAATTTGCCCCATAGGTATTTCTCTTTCATCTATACCACCAAAACAAGATATCATCCTTTCCTTGACAGTGTTGAGGATCCACTCTTCTGTGACCTAACGTGAGAGCCTGAAACACTCTTATGCTCCCATCCCTGTTTCCTCCCATCATGACAAGAACAAAATAGGTGGATTGTAAAGCTTTGTCAAAGTGAATTTCACTCAACCTCTTAGACCTTTATATATTTTTTTTGTTTTCTCTGTTTCTAGGTGTGTCGAACCAAGGTGATAGATCTCAGTGAAGGCATTTCCCAGCATGCCTGGTACCCTTGCACCATCAGTTATCCATACTCCCAGCTGGCTCAGACCACTTTCTGGCTCCGGGTAAGCCAAAGCTTTGAGAGCTTCAGACTCTTCAGCAGTGGCCCCAGGAAGCTCTGACTCCCATGGCCCTTTCTCAAGATGGTTTGTTTATCCATGGAGGGTGTTAATTGTAAGGACAGAGAACAGAAACACTGAACAGCCGGGTGCTTCCTGAAATGGAATCCCTTAATTGCGGGTGGGTTACCCCCAGTCACTCTTGTTTTGGCAAAGAGTTTGGATACCTTTTATCTCACTGGAACCTCCTACTCATTGTTCCAGGCCTTTAAACATTGCCTTCTCCTGGAAGTCTTACTGAACCCCATAAAGAAAAGTTATCAGGCCCTCCCTTCTCATCCTGCCCATGTGTGAGCGCCTGTTGTGTGGTTTTCCGAAACACTGAGCCTGTCTACCTGACCAAGGTCTGTGGACTACACTGAATTTGGCACAGTGTGGTACTGACTTCCTTCAAATTGCACAGGCCCCATGAATTCAAGGACCAAATTTTGTCTCCTCAGTGCCTAGTACTGAGGTTAGCATGGGGAGGCAGAGAATAACAAAGACCATTTTTCATGGCTTTAATACACTTGACTCCATTTCATTATCTCAGTGGAGTCTCCCAACCATTGTGTGATGGGGCTTTTGGTTTAATCCACCATTTAGAGGTGAGGAAACTTGGGTGCGGAGAAGCACAGCACCTCTCAGCATCACCCAACTTGGAGGGAGCAGAACCGAAACTTGAATAGTGTCTGACCTCGGAGCCTGTGTGTCTCACTACTAGGTGTCTCTGCCTCTCTGTTCCCACGCTGGACCCACAGCAGCCAACCCAGTGTCTGAAATGGAAGAATCTGCCCCCATTGTACCTCTCGTGGCTGCATCCCCACCGCATGACCAAGTAGATTAGTGACCCCCCTGTGTCTACTGCATTTCAGGCATACTTTTCACAGCCAATGGTGGCTGCAGCTGTCATTGTCCACCTGGTGACTGATGGTACCTATTATGGGGACCAGAAGCAGGAGACCATCAGTGTCCAGCTGCTTGATACCAAAGACCAGAGCCACGACCTTGGTGAGTATGTTCTCTAGGGCATGACTTCCTCTTGCACCTGCTCCCTTCCCTGCTCCTGGAGGCTGTGAGGATGTCCTGGCTGGATACATCTTCCCCCTGGCAGTCTCTTCCTTGCTTCTCTATTTGACATTCAAATCATATTGTATGTCTCTCAAGAGAAGCCTGGGTCTGATGGATACAAGGATCAGCGTCAAAATTAAATCATCCCTGCCGCTGGAGACCTTAAACTTCAGGCGTCCTGTGTGATCCTCAAAAGGACTCTGGGAAGAAGCCCATCATATGTAGCAGTACCTGAGACCCAGAGACTTGCATGGAGAGATGCCAGATCCCACAACAGCTGTCTGTCATCCTAGCCCAGTGTTCTTCAACCTCTAGCCAGTGGTGTCCATGAACACCCACCAGTGCCACCCTTATATTCAGCTCCAGAGCTCTCCATGGAGCAGGAGTAAGATCAGTAAGATCAGATAGTTTCTGGAATGGGAAAGAGGAGTCAGGGTATACCAACCTAGGAAGAAGCCTCCCCAGCATGGGACTGAGCAAAGGAGTTGACACTTGCCCCCCCGCTCCTCGCTCCCGCCCCCGCCCATACCCACACCCACACGAGCCTTGGAATGGGGGAAGGAGCCCCAACACCAGAGCTGACAGCTGAGGTCTGAATCCCATCCTGGCTACTCACTCACTTCCACCTTGTCAGTGACTTTCTCAACCCCTTTCCCTCCTCTGCACGTCAGGCCAGTGGGGACATCACAGTCAGCTATGACACAAACTGAGATGTTACTTGGGGCCAAGCAAGGTGAGCCTGCCTGGTATGAGACCTGGCTCTAGAAAATTCTGTTGCCTCCTCCCACATTTCGATGTACCCTGTGGGCAGCCAGTCCAGAGCCTGTGCTGCAGGCCAGCACTGAGCCTGCAGCCCTGGCTTCGCAGCAGGGCCCACACCATTCCAGAGCTTATTTCAAAGACCCAAAGGAAGCCAGTCTGCAGGGGGTCATTTCAGGGTCAAGCAGAAGCCAAGGGAGCAGGGAGGGCTTTTTGTTTTGTTTTTATGTTTACTTACTTACTTAGTTTTAAAGGCAAGAGGGAACATATGAAGAAGGAAGAGAAAGAAAACCCTCTGGACTTATCTGGATTCCTGGGAAATTTCCCTAAGTGAGAAACAAATATTTTCATAGCCGTCCCAGCACTGCCAGGGCTCCAGGAGGGTTTCCAGTG